ATTATGATTATGAAATTAAGCATCAACCTGGAAAAGCCAATGTACTAGCTGATGCCTTGAGTAACCTACTTGTCTCAACTCATAAGACAAAAAGAGTTATTAGGAGAGTTAATAAAGGACCAAATAGAGGTAATACCAGGAAGGCTTGCTAGGTTAGACATTCAGCCTACTTTGCTGGAAGGGATTAAAGAAAAACAAGTGTTGATGAGTGGTGTCAGAAAATAAGTTAGCAAGTGATTAAAGGCAAGATATCAGAATTCCACCTATTAGATGGTGTCCTCCGTTTTCGGAATCGTATATGCATTCCCTAAGATGCTGAGTTGAAGAGAAAGATTCTTACGGAGGCTCATGATACACCATATACTGTTCATCCTGGAGGAACCATGATGTATCAAGATTTAAAGAAAAGTTATTGGTGGTCAGGTATGAAGAGAAATATTGGAGATTATGCGGCTAAGTGTTTGGTTTGTCAACAGATGAAAGAAAAACACTAAAGACCATCAAGTTTGCTTCAGCCACTCAGCATTCTTGAATGGAAATGGGAAAGTATATCAATGGATTTTATCACAGGCCTTCCAAAAGTTCAAAAGGGGTATAATGCGATATGGGTGATAGTAGACAAATTAACTAAATCAGCCAACTTTCTTCCAGTAAAGGATAGGATTACCTTAGATCAGTTGGCCCAGATCTATGTCAGGGAGAAAGTCAGAATCCATGGTGTGCTCAAGACCATAGTGTCAGATAGAGATTCCACATTTGTTTTAGCTTTCTAGACCAGTCTGTAGAGAAACTTGGGTACAAGATTAGCATTTAGTACAGCATACCATCCTCAGACAGATGGCCAGACTGAGAAAACAAATCAGATACTTGAGGATATGTTGAGGGCATGCTGTATGGATTATAGAATGACTTGGCATGAGATGTTGCCGTTGGTGGAGTTTGCCTATACTAACAGTTATCTGTCTACGCTTAAGATAGCTCCTTATGAAGCCTTGTATGATAGGCGGTGTAGATTTCCATTGCATTGGGATGAGGTAGGAGAGAAAGATGAGTTATATACAGCTCTTGGGCCAAAGATAACTCAAAAAATGATAGAAGATATCCAATTGATCCGACGTAGAATGAATCAATCTCAAGATAGACAAAAGAGCTATGCAGATTTAAAGAGAAAAGACGTGGAATTTGAAGTGGTGATAAAGTGTTTATTAAAGTTTCCCCCTATAAACTAGTAATACGTTTTGGCGGTAACGGAAAGTTAGAACCTAGATACATTGGCCCCTTTGAAGTGTTGCAACGAGTTGGAAAGGTAGCTTATAAGTTGGCGCTACCACTTAATATGGATAGGGTGCACAATGTGTTCCATGTTTCGATGCTTCGAAGATATGTCGGTGATCCCTCCCATATACTAAAAGTAGAATAAGTGGACTTAGAAGAAAATCTCGTTTATGAGGAGCAACCAGTACAAATTTTAGATAGAAAAATTAAAGAGCTCCGAAACCAAAGTATTCCACTCGTAAAAGTCCTATGGAGGAATCATAAAGTAGAAGAAGCAACATGGGAGGTAGAGCAAGATATGCGGAACCGCCATCCTGAGTTGTTCGTTGGAATTTCGAGGACAAAATTCTTGTAAGGGGGGAGAATTGTAACGCCCACATCGAGGTACATACCTTAATTTATGCCTTAATACCCTTAGTTGAAGCATGTTAAAGTTATCTTGAACAAGTGTGAAGAAAATGCCTTAAAATTTCATTTGCGGTAAAATGGTCTTTTCACTCATAATTAGTTGAAAAAGCGGGGAGTGAAAAGATGTAGAATAACATGGAAAAGTTAATAAAAATGAGGGCATTATTGTAATTGACTAAGGTACATAGATGGAATGTCATAGAAAGTGCAAGGGTAAAATGGGAAGCTATAAGTAATATTTTGTTATATTAAGAGTTCAAGAATGAAACCTTAGCCATTCTTCCCCTTCCATTCACGCCACTTTCCACCCAAGTTCTCTCAAATTTCTTCAATCATTTTCAAGGAAAATTCATGGATCTTGGTTTATTTTTAGTGGAATTTCAATCCCAAGCATCCTTAGGTAAGATCCTTGCACTAAGGTGTGAGATTTAATTTTTAAAGTGTTGAATTCTTATGATTTGTGTTCTTATGGTTTAAGACAAAGAGAGTTGGATCAAGGAAGACTACTAAAGTGTTGGATTGCTCACATCTAAGGTAAGTAAATCCAACCCTAGTCATGATTGGAGTAATGTTGTGTAGAGAACTTCCTTTATGCATGTATGTGCTTATATATGAAGAATTGTTGATGGAATGGAAGTTGAATGATGGTTAGAATTTATCCATGAGAAGTAGTGTTTGTGTACTTGATGTTTGATGAGAGTTTGGGTGAATTATGGAAGAATTGGAGTAGAATTTATGAAGTGTAAATCCTGGACAGGTTTAACGTTGATTGTAGTGAGTTTGATTCCAAATTTTGGTGGCTTAGAAGAGATGTAGAAATGTAGGCAAGTTAGAGTTTGTGTGTGCATACAAATTGTTTGATGAAATGTCAAAGAGAAGTGCATGTATGAGTATGATTATTTGTTATCTTGAGATGAGTTTGTAGATGGTAGAGAATGACATGTTAACATTTCATATTGTATTATTGCATCCAAACATGTGAATTTAGAAAGAATAATAAGCATGAGCCCATCTACATGCATACACACTCATAAGAGTATTAAAGAACAAAGAATAAAGAGAAATATTAAAGAATAATTCAAAACTGAAATTTTGTTTAAAGAAGTGTAAAAAGATAAGAGAAGAAAAGGTTGTTGCGATGGGGAACCCGTGAGTGACCTAGCCCCGTATGCACGCCACCTTTAGTGAGCGGCCTCAAAATCAGAAAGAAGAATTGTACAGTCCGTTAGAAGTGCATGTGGATGAGGACTGTACCCAGAATTAGAGAATACACTCACACGGCCAGGGTTTCGAATCCATGCCTCAACCGAGTCCGATCAGCAAGAAAGAAAGAATAGAAAGAAATAAAGAAAAGAAAAGAAAGAATAAAGAGAAAGAAAAGAATTATGCATTTGTGCATTTGCATCATACCTATGCATGATACCATGCCTACTATCATGAGTAGTGAGAAATTAGAAATTAAGAAAAAACAGAGAAAGAACAAAGAAGAATAGAGAAGTGTGATGTAAGGAAAGAAATTTAGAATATAAGCAACGGAGAGAAAAAAGTAGCATAGCAGGTTTACTTACTGAGCAATTAGTGCTCACCCCGTTGTTTTTCAATGTTTTTAAAGGTAGTAGATGAGATTACAGTCGCTTGTAACATCAAGAAGCGGAAGGGTTTGGCAACACTATCGAGTTGATGTTTTGTGACCTTATTACATTATGTAAAGATTTGTTAAAAAATGAAAAATTAGACATGGGTCCGTTATTTCATACTCATCTATATATATATATATATTACTGTTTATTTTATGAGTATACTAGCTAGAGAGAGAGAAAGTACTACATGTGTGTTTGGAGTTTTGGTAATCTTGCGTTGATCACAACAAAATCCTTCACTACTGAATTAGTGAGGCTGCAAAGTCTTTTCAGAGATAATCTTGGAGCAAAGTCATTGGCAGCTAATATTGTATTTCACGCCAAAACAAAGCACATTGAAGTGGATATTCATTATATCCACGAGAAAATTGCTTCAAAGAAGTTAGCGGTGAAATATGTTCTTACTGAGTTTCAGATTGCATATCTTCTGACTAAATCTCTACCCTGTACTCGCTTTCTTACTTTGCGAAATAAGTTCATTCATTTTGTCAGATCACTATTACTTACCAGCACTTTCCAGGGGTTGAATTAGAAAAGCGGGAGAAGCATTATTTGTGGGGAATGTTGCTCAGAGTTCGAACAGAAGAAGTATTATTTGAGGGGGAATGTTGCTCCAACTCAAATGTGCCCAGACTTGGTTAAATTTGTTACTATGTAACTGAGCCGTTAGTGCTATGTTAGTTTGGTAAAGAGATAGCTGCATTTTGTAGTTAGTTTTGCTATTAGTTAAAGTAGCTCAGGTTAAGTATATAAGGAGCTAACTACCTATTCTTGTAACTAAGTTTCTAATTTAGTAAAAACAATTCTCAAGTTTTTCTTTCATATCCCTCTGTCCAAGTAGATGTAGATAGATTTTCAGGTAAAATTTGAGTTTTTGGTTGCTGAGAATTTGCAGGAAATTCTTCATCAGCTCTAATACCAAAAAAAACGAAAACAAAAGAAATTTTAAAGAATATTTTTGAAGGAATGTTTAAACTGCTTTTTTACTTTTTGTTTACTGCTACAGCACTTGACAATCTGTATATTGAGTTGCTTGTAACAGAACAATCGTTCCTAAGTTGAAGATAATTGGGACTGTTCCAACTTTGAGCAACTACTGAATCCTTCACAAAGTCGTTGCATTTATCTCTTAAATATTATGATGCATAATTTGTGCATGCTTGTAATCATAATCGTGTTTGTAATTTATTACTTTTTAAATATTTATCAGAAGTAAATTATTCAAGGCCAATGTTTCATTCATCACATTATAGCATATACAAGTTGAGGTTTATAAAAATTTCCTCCTCAAGGTTTGAGAAAAGTGTAACACACCCAAGGATTTTGAAAAGGAACAAATGCATCCAAAAATTTGAAACTTTGTCCTATAAAGACTATAGTGCCCTTGTCTAATTATATATATATTTTTTTTTTTTTTTGCAGTTTTTAGACAAACGGTATTATGCTCTTTATATAATAAAGTAATCAATTTTTGGGGTTCATTTGTTACTTTCGCCAACCCTTGAGGAGATTGTTATAAACACCGCATATGCATGTGTTTTTTTTTTTTTTTTTTTTTTTTTTAATGTGTTGCATCTTTTTAATATTAAATGTGTTGGTGGTTGTATGGATCGGAATTTAGTAGTTAGATGCATATTAATTACCATAAAAAAGTTAATATATACATATTCTCTAACCTCCCAATTTGATCATATCATAGAGATCCTCACATATTGTTAATTTGAACTGTGTGCATATCATAATTAATATATACAAGCAACATTAATGGCGTTCTGCATTGCATCAGCCTCTCATATAATTTCCACTGCCTCTGTTTGTCAAAACCGTAGAGTTTTACTTGTATCTAATAGACCTACTGGCAGAATTAGTGTACAAAAGCGAGTCCAGTGCATTGCTAGCCCAGAACTTAATACTTCAACGGCTGTTAGGCGATCAGGGAACTACCAACCTTGCATTTGGAACGATGATCACCTACTATCCTTGACTAATGAGTACACGGTAGCTATTCATCATCTTCTTTTATTAATTTATTATTTTAGTTTACTTTTTCGCAGGGGAGGACTCACACACTTGTTTTTGGAGCTGGTGACCTCACTCAAAATTTTGTTTTCATTAATTTGGTGTAATTTTTGTTTTGATCAAGTTTTATTTGTATTAATTTTTTAGATTTGACTCTCACTGATTTATTTTTCTTCTATTTTATATTATATTATTTTGAATTTGCCCCCTCTAACGATAATTCTGCATTTAGGAAGATACATACAGAAAAAAGGCTGAAACGCTGAGGGAAGAAGTGAGGATGATGATTAACAGTGTGAAAAACCCATTGGATCAGCTCGAGCTGGTTGACAACTTACAAAGACTTGGATTGGCTTACCATTTTGAAAATGAGATAAACGACATATTGAGCAATGTTCACAATAACAGCGATGATAAATGGAAGAAAGGAAATCTATATGCTACCTCTCTTGAATTTAGACTCCTCAGACAACACAGTTACAATGTTACTGAAGGTAGTGATCGAAGATGTTTAATCTCTTCAGCCTGTAAAAATAAAATATTGTAATCTATAAAAATAAGTTTTTTTTTTTTTTTTCTTGAGTGCAGAAGTTTTTAATAGTTTTAAGGACACAACGGGCGGTTTCCAGGCGTACCTTCATGACGATATCAAAGCAATGCTTGGCCTTTATGAAGCTTCGTATTATGGGTTTGAAGGAGAAAGTGTCATGGAGGAGGCTTGGCAGTTCACTTCTAAATATCTTAAAGAGCTTGACACAAAGGATATCGACCAGAATATAGCATTGCAAGTGAAGCACGCATTGGATCTTCCAATCCATTGGTGGATACCAAGAATAGATACAAGGTGGTTCATAGATTTCTACGAGAGACGAGAAGGCAAGAACCACCGTCTATTGGAGCTTGCAAAGTTAGATTTCAACATTGTGCAGGGAATACACCAGGAAGATCTTAAAGACATGATACGGTAGGAATATTAATTAATATTTCCTCCCACATCATTAACTTAACATTTTTCAGAATTTTTCAGTCTAGTTTCCAAGGTGCTAATTCAGCTGAATTATCCGTTTTTGCCTGTGAAGGTGGTGGAAGAATAGTGGGCTTGAAGAGAAGTTGAGTTTTGCCAGGAGTAGAATTGTAACATCATTCTTGTGGGGCATGGGGATGGCTGCTGAACCTCAATTTGCATACTGCAGGAAGATGCTTACTAAAGCCGTTGCTCTAATTACGGCAATTGATGATTTTTATGATGTCTATTCTACCTTGCCTGAAGCTGAGTTGTTCACAGAAGCTGTTCAAAGGTTGTTAGGAAAAAACTTTGTTTCATACAAATGCTAACAGATTTAAGAAATCATATAACTGTCATATATATTTTTTTTCATACATGGTTTTCAGGTGGGATATTAATGCAATGAAGCAGCTTCCACACTACATCAAGATATGTTTTCTTCAGCTTTATAATTCGGTTAATGAAATGATTTATGACATTCTCAAAGAACAGGATGTAGATGTCTCGCAGATTCTAAGTAAAACGGTAATATATATATGTATATTCTTCTTTTGTATATAATGTTCTATAGTTTATACTTTTCTCTAAAAGTATCTTTTTCTAACTACATTTATCCTCTGCAAATTAGTGGGCAGGTTCGTTCCAAGCCTACATGAAGGAGGCACAGTGGTACCACAGTCAATATAAACCAACGTTAGAAGAATATATGAAAAACGCATGGTTATCGATTACTGGCCCGACGATGACACTTGTATCATACCTTGCTTCAAAATATCCAATAACCGAAAAGGAACTAGAGTTTTTTGAAAGCGGACCGGATTTAGTATACTGGGCATCCATGGTTTTCCGGCTTCAAGATGATTTGGGAACTTCATCGGTATACATAAGTTATCATTATCTTTAGTTGTTGACCGATGAATATTATTGTTTGTAAAATGGTCAATCAATTGATTGTGATTTTTTAAAATTTTCAGGATGAGGTACAAAGAGGGGATGTTCCTAAATCAGTGCAGTGTTACATGAATGACACTAATTGCTCTGAGGAAGTTTCTCGAGAACACATGAAGCATCTAATGAGGCAGTTGTGGAAGAAAATAAATTTTTATAGAGCTGATACAAATTGTCCCCTACCTAAAACTATTAAAGAAATGATATTGAACCTGGTGAGAACGTCCCATTGCGTGTATCTACATGGAGATGGGCATGGTATTGAAGGCCAAGAGGTTACGGATGTTCTTTCGTCATTATTCTTTCAGTCTACTCCACTGTAGGAGAAAAACATGTATTTGCATTATCTTCTGATTGCAAGACAAAGAATATCCATGATGTATTTCAAACAAATATCGGAAATTTTAATCATCTCTTTGAAGAACACATAAAATTCAGAGTAATTAAGAAAGGCATTAGACATTCTGGTTCCAATTTCTTGGTCTATTTGTCACCACAAAATTGTTATCTGTTGATGCTCGATTGTGGTTACCCAGGTGAACAATCCTTTCCCAACTTGAAATCCATTAACACTAGCCTCAACTCCCGTGAAAAGGTATGGACTTCAACCTACAATGCAACAACCGAGTCAAAGAGGGGTAATGAGGGTGCCTCTACTTATTTAGTGAGAACTAAAAACTCATCGACACCCAAGTCAGTCAATCCAATTCTAATAATTTCAAAGTACTATTTCGAACTAGCTACTTATGTACTGGACATTCAACTCTCCATGACATTGGACTTGCCAGCCCCATTAATCTACCCCTTTTTATGTGTATTAATTAACAATAATTACCCAAAGAATACTCTTGCAAAAANTTAAAATTTTCAGGATGAGGTACAAAGAGGGGATGTTCCTAAATCAGTGCAGTGTTACATGAATGACACTAATTGCTCTGAGGAAGTTTCTCGAGAACACATGAAGCATCTAATGAGGCAGTTGTGGAAGAAAATAAATTTTTATAGAGCTGATACAAATTGTCCCCTACCTAAAACTATTAAAGAAATGATATTGAACCTGGTGAGAACGTCCCATTGCGTGTATCTACATGGAGATGGGCATGGTATTGAAGGCCAAGAGGTTACGGATGTTCTTTCGTCATTATTCTTTCAGTCTACTCCACTGTAGGAGAAAAACATGTATTTGCATTATCTTCTGATTGCAAGACAAAGAATATCCATGATGTATTTCAAACAAATATCGGAAATTTTAATCATCTCTTTGAAGAACACATAAAATTCAGAGTAATTAAGAAAGGCATTAGACATTCTGGTTCCAATTTCTTGGTCTATTTGTCACCACAAAATTGTTATCTGTTGATGCTCGATTGTGGTTACCCAGGTGAACAATCCTTTCCCAACTTGAAATCCATTAACACTAGCCTCAACTCCCGTGAAAAGGTATGGACTTCAACCTACAATGCAACAACCGAGTCAAAGAGGGGTAATGAGGGTGCCTCTACTTATTTAGTGAGAACTAAAAACTCATCGACACCCAAGTCAGTCAATCCAATTCTAATAATTTCAAAGTACTATTTCGAACTAGCTACTTATGTACTGGACATTCAACTCTCCATGACATTGGACTTGCCAGCCCCATTAATCTACCCCTTTTTATGTGTATTAATTAACAATAATTACCCAAAGAATATTCTTGCAAAAATAACAATTAATAACCACTAGAGAGAATGGGCTCAGAGTTAAGACATTTTTACATTCTCTAACATGCGCGTTCAAGATATTATAAATTCCCTAGCATTCTCTAATACATAAGCCCAAGATATTCTAAAAAGGCTCTAGCATTCTATAATACATAATCCCAAGATATTTTGAGAAGCCCACAACATTCTGACATGTAAACACAAGGCACTTTGTCCCTCTACATTTAAACCCAAAATATTCTTACAAAGTACTTACCATTTTCTAACATGTAAGCTCAATGCACTCTAGCATTCTCTGACATGTGAGTCCAAGACACTCTAAAAAACCCTTGGCATTCTCTAACATACAAGCCCAAGCCATTCTAGCATTCTCTTCAATGTAAGCCTAATACACTTTAAAAAATACAAGCCCGTCACACTCTCACAGATAAACCCATGGCACTAGTTGCTGAAAGCCCATCAAGCATTGGCACGGATTGACCCAAAAAGCCCATCACAAAATGACACTCATTGCTACAAAACCCATCACACGATGGCATTCATTTCTACAAAGTCCATCGCATGAAAGCATCAATTGTTAAAAGCGCATTGCGTGATGGCACAAATTATCTCATAAAGCCCATCACAGGATGGCACTCGTCATAATAAAACCCACCACACGATGCCATTCTTCTATTTCAAGTACACTCTAGTCCAAGGATCAAAGCATATATTTTCACAGCCTTTTCCACAACACAAGGCCCAAATCTATTTCAATGCAAGATCCGACATGCTCTACAAACAAATAGCCTACAATGAAACACCAAGGTAAACAAGAGTAAGTACTATTCTTAATGAAACACCAAGGTAAACAAGAGTAAGTACTATTCTTACTTTCAAAAGGTCGGTGGACGCAAGCCACTTTAATGAGACAATCTTTGTATGTTACGGTAATGACAGTATTAGAGCATACAAAGAGACCTATTAGGTTGAGATGTTTCTTTGAATTAGGTCCACCAATAGGGTATCTAATAAGGCATCTCAAATTAATAGATGTGTAAGGTCATTTCTAAAAAACCCAAGGGAAAACACTTTTCAAGTTTAAAAAATCTCCCAAAAGTGACATTAGTCCTAAAACACTAATCTTTTACTGATTAGGTAGCAAAATGGTAGTTTTACCTCCTAGAGGCCGAAACTCCCCAAATTATCAAAATAACCCTAGGCACATTATGACATCTCAAAAAGTGTTTTTCTTTTCTAGATTTCTTATTTTTCCCATGTATTGAATCATTTGTATAGCCTTTGGTGAAAATTTCGTATTTTTATCATGCATATTCTATTTTTTATAAGGGTGAGTAAGAAAATAGGTTCTATCCGGAACTGGCAAGTACTTGAGATACTAGTTCTGGTTCTAAAAAATAGAAACCAGGACTCCCCAGTTTTGATTCCGGTTCTGATTCTTTCATTCCAAGAACCAAGAACTGGAACCGGAACCGGAACTAGAATTGGAATCGAAATCGAAACCTGGAATAGGGTACTCTGCTAGGAACAGGGAAAAGAATCGGGGTTAAAAAACTAATATACAACATTGGGGGTTTTAATTAATTTTACCCCTAAACTAAGGTAATGTCATCTTATATTATTTAGATTACCATGTTTGGTTGTCAAGTAATATAAGATTCCGATAATCTTCCAAAACTAATCATAATTACTATTGGTTATATAGGAGGTAATTTGAATACCACTATTTTCTTAGGTATTTTATGATTACTTAGTAATCTTATTTTTGTTACAATTTTACCCTTAACTATTAAAATTTTTGAACAATAATGCCCTTATTTGAAAACAATTTACAAATATATTCATGGACTATTTTATCCTTATATAGAATATTTTTAGGACATAAATACCCTTGAACTTGAACAAAATTACTCAAGACTGGTGGCCGAATCTAGCCACCACCATTGGTGGCCAACAGCCAGCCACCATCGCCAGTGGTCCACGGCCAACCACCATCGCTGGCCACTCGCCTCTAATGCCGAAACGACACACGACTGGCCAGATCTGGCTGGTTGTGCACCAATTTGGCCATTTCCGGCCAAATATACGACTTCTGGCTATCGTCAATGAACAACGGCTAGATAGATCTAGCCATCATTGATGGCCAAATTATGGATGTCAATGGCCAGAACTCTGGCCATAGATCATGTCATTTCCGACCAGATTGGTGCACAACCGGTTAGATCTGACCGGTCGTGCGCCGCTTCGACCGCTGTCGCCATCGCCGGTGGTGGTGGCTGGCGGCTGACAGTGGCTTGGGGTGGGTGGGGGTAATTTGGTTAGAAATTAAATTTTTACGTTGGTGGGGTGTTTTAGCAAAATCTCAAATGTAGGCAGTTAAAAGAAATGATTCAAAATATAATAATAAAAATAATATTATATTAATATTTAAAGAGGATAATTTAGTAATTTATATAACATATCCATCAATTTATTCCTCCCAACCAAACATATCAATATAACATACCCACCAATTTATTCCAACCTCACCAAACACATTTCTCTAAACATTCCCAATTATGGACGTAGCCAAAAATGAAATGTAAGGGGTTAAAGTTAGAAGAATAATACAATTTTAGATTAAAATAAGCACAATTTTTGTATTTATAAAATTCTCATTAACTAATACATTTACAATTGTTCTCAACGGAATTTCATCTTTTGAAAGTATTGTATAATGACTTCATTATCAATACTATCAAATACATATTTCTTTATATACACAACTAAGCTATCATTTATGCATACACGTTACTGGTCCTAAGGCCAACTCCAAAATAACTTTAGAAAAATCTTGTTACTTCCTCTAACTTCAATATATCATCACAAATGAAAAAAAAAAAATAGTACAATTGCTTGCCAGCTAGATAGGTGGGAGAAAACTACATTTGTGTGGATAAAGAATTAGAAATTTAAGAAAAAAAATTGAAACCTAGATTGTTGAAATGGGTTTGTGAAGTAAAGAAAGAAGGGTTTAGTTTTGATAGCCAAAAAAGAAAAATAAGAGCTTAAAATATTGAGGTTGAAGGGGACTTTTTTTTTTTTTTTTAATTTACTTTAGTTTAAGGGTTATTTAAAACTTGTCAAAAAAATTTAAAACTTAAGAAGGGTCAACGACCCTATTGACTGCCCCTCCTCTAATCCTGGTCCCTGTAATCTTAAAGAATTTATCTTTCCATTAATGTAACATTTCCAGTAATACAACATTCTCAAACCAAACGCACCTTAGAGTAATATATTATGTCTCAATTATTCTGTATCTGTTCCACCTTATTTATTTTTTTTTTTTTCTTCATCAAAGTTTTAAATGTTTATGCATGCAAAATCAGTTATAACTAAGTTATAAAGTGATAACTACATCGTGTATTGAATTTCTTACCTATTTAGTTTTATTTTATTAATGTTTATACAGTAAGTTGAGATTTGGACAAGATATTGAATGAATATACAAGTGTGAAGATGAAATACATGACAATAATTATGATAAGGTTTTCAGGCCTGTTGACCTTCGTGTGCCCTGTCGTCTCCATTGATGATAGCGAAAAACATAATAGCCAAATTTGGTCTTCTGGACCCGTAAGACCACCAGCACAAAGCCATAGACATATTATTCTAGGACAATCATTTACGTTTGTATCCTATTTTTGAAGATAATTACGCTTCAACTATTCTTCGAAATAAAACAAAACTCTGTCTTATTTATAAAAAAATAAGCCAAAATCAACATAAATGGGA